TAAAATCAGTTCACTGTGCAAATGTGTACATTTATTTCTGGGCTCTCTATTCTATTCAATTTCTTTGTGTGTCTGTTTTATTCCAGTATCATGCTGTTTTGATTACAACAGTGTTTTAGTATGTATATTATATTTTTTCCAAGCTTTTAATATTCATTGCTAAATTGCTATTGACATTACATTCAGCCTAGAACAAATAAACTTATTTTGACAAATAGTTTATTTTTATTTGTATTTTTTTTATTATACCTACAGGTGGGGTGCAATATTGATTTTCAATAATTGTGTAGCATGTATGGTGGTTAGATCAGTATAGTTAGTTTATTCATCATTACAATATGCAATCATTGTTTGTATCCATTGACCAATACCTTATTAGACACCCTTCCTTCCCCAATCCCCTCCCATTTTCCACCTCTAGTTTTGTAAAAGATCAACGTATTATTGTGATTGCTCTTTCTTTCTTTCTCTTTGTTTCTTTTTATTGTTCACTTATTTATGGATTCAGCTCCCAATTATGAGTGAAAATATGTGCTATTTCTCTTTGTGTACCTAGGTTGTTTCACTTAGAATAATTTTCTCCAGAGTCATCCATATTGCTACTAATGTTAGAATTTCATTCTTTTTTATGGTTGAGTAGTATTCCATTGTGTATATATACTGCAATTTCCTTATCAAGTCACCCATCAATGGATTTATGTTGGTTCCACCACCTAGCTATTGTAAATAGAGCTGCATTAAACATGAGAGTGCAGGTATCCCTTCAACCTGATGTTTTCCAGACCTCTGGATATGTCCGCAGTAATGGGATTGCTGGATCTTATGGAAGTTCTAGCTGTAGCTGTTTAAGGAACCTCCATATTTTTCTCCATAATGGCTATACCAATTTACAATCCCCCCCACCCTGAGCAGTGCAGGAGGAATCCTCTCTCTCTCCACAACCTCATCAGCATTTGTTATTCTCTTTATTATAAAGGCCAGTCTGCTGGGGGTGAGATGATATCTCAAAGTATTTTTGATTTGCATTCCCTGATGATTACTGGTATTGAGCATTTTGTCATATACCTATTCATCATTTGTATGTCTTACTTTGAGAAATGTCTATTCACCTCCTTTGCTCATTTTTTAATTGAATTAACTGTTTTTTTTTTTTGTTGCAAGGTTGTCTGAGCTCTTTGTATATTCTGGACATAAATCACTGGTCAGATGCATCTTTTGCAAATATTTTATCCCATTTTCTAGGTTGTCTTTTCACTCCACTGATTGTTTCTTTTGCTGTGCAGAAGCTTTTTAGTTTAATATAATGTCATTTGTTTATTTTGTTTGTTTCTTTTGTTGCCTGTTCTTTTGGGGTATTATTCATAAAGTCATTGCCCAGTCTTACATCCTGGAGCATTTCCCCTATGTTTCCTTCTAGGAGTTTTAAAGCATCAGGCCTTACATTTAGGTTTCTAATCCACTTTGAGTTGATTTTGGTATATAGTGAGAGATGAAGATCAAGTTTCATTCTTGCACAAATGGATCTCCAGTTTTCCCAACACCATTTATTGAAGGGACAGTCTTTTCCCCAATGTACGTTCTTGGTGCCTTCATCAAAGATCAGTTAGCTGTAAACATGTGGGTTGATTGATCACTTTGGGTCACATGGACATTAAAACAATATTAATTCTTCCAATTAAAAACATGAGAGTCTGATTGTGTTCGGTATTCATGAGTTCCTCTGGACCACAAAGAACAAAGAGGTGGTTTCAAACAGCCATGCAAGCACATTTGGGAGCTATTTTTCCATGCTCAGTGCAGAGCAAGCAGATAAAAACACACAGATTACAGTTTTTCCCAGAACGCTGTTTGACTACATACTTAATGTCCCAACCTTTCTAGCTGCTGCCTGAGGTTCAGGCTTCTAATTAGCTGCATCTTGGTATTGATGGGGCAGGCAGGTAGTCATCCTCCATTAATCTGAATGGGTGTGTGGGCATTCCCCATGCATTTTCCCTCCAGGTCACTCAAGTGATAAAAGCAAGTCTCCAGTTTCTCCCTGGAAGAAGTTTGTCTACACATTGTGCTCCAAACTTGTATGGCTATCACTGAAGGGACAGACTTCTAAGCCACCTAGCTCTGGGATCTGATGGGGTTCCACATTCATGAGTCCTCTGGGACCACAGAGAAGAGACAGGTGGTTTTAAAAAGTGAGTGAGCATTTCTAGCAGCTCTTCACCCAGACTCAGCCCAGACCTTCTCCAAGTTTCGCCCTGAAAGGGGTTAGTCTAAGCATCGAGTGTCCCAACATTATCAGGTACTGCCCAATATTCTGGTTTCTAACTCACATTCATCTGGGAGCTGAAGAACAGGCAGTCAGTCGTACCTAAGAGCCTTAACAGGTGTGTGGACTCTTCCCATGGATCTCTCCTCCTCACTTACTCCAATGAAAAAGAACAAACCTTGATCTTCTACATTGAAGGATTTAGTGTACACATCTTATGCCCTGGCTTTATGGCTGCTGCATGATGGCCTGGCTTTTAAGTCACATGTTTCTGCTAGCTGATGGGGCCCACCATTCAATAGTCTCCCATGGTCTGTAGATATTTGTGCAGCAGTTTTGAATGGATGGGTAGGATTCTCCATGACTCTTCCTTCTCATTCTTTCATAAATGGAGCCCAATTACCAGATTTGCCCATAAAAAGTTTGTACTGCACATCTGGTGTTCCCACTATTCCAGCTGCAGCCTGAGTGTCTGGATTCTGTCTTGCCTATTTGTGGGAGCTGCCAGGTCAGGCAATTACTATTCTTCTGGAAATTTGAATGAGAGATGGGCACTTCTCATAGTTCCTCCAACTAGCTCACTGCAGAGACAGAACAAAGCCTTCAGCTAGTCGGCCTGTCCCTAAGAGCTGTAGGGACTGGGCATTCTCTAGGCTCCTGGGCAACAGAGAGCACAGCAGTAGGTTGAAAGAGTGTGTGGTCTGAATGAGCATGTAGACAAAGAGGGAAATAAACTGAAATTCTCTTTTTTCTGCATAAGGAAAGAGTGAACTGGGCCATACCTCTAGAACCTCAACTTTTCTACCTGGTCATCTGGGGAATGTCCTATACCTCACCTGACCTGTGGCACTGATAGGATGTGACATGCCCTAATCTCATGGGGGTACTAACCAAAAAGGGAGAGGTTTGGACATGCACAAAGGATTGAGAGGCTCCGAGGATCTCTGTTGGGGCTGATTGGTGAGGTTCATCTCCTACCTGAGGCCAGACTGTCAAGACTGGAGACATGACTGTTTTATTTAAGATGCAGAAACCAACGCAGAGACACAAGAGATATAAAGAAACTGTGAAATGTGTTCCAAACACAACAACATAGATCTCCAGAAATTGACTCTCCTGAAATGGAGATAAGTGGTTTACCTGGCACACTATTCATAAGAATGGTCACAAAGATGCTCACTTTGGTCAATTCGTCAATGGAACAGAATACAGAGCTTAGAAATAAACCTACACAGTTATGGTCAATTTATTTTTGACAAAGATGCCAACAACACACAATTGGAAAAGAATGTTTCTTCCATAAACGCTGTTTGGAAAACAGGATATTTACTTGCAGAGGAAAGAAATGAGGCCCTTATGTCGAACCTGTAACCCTGCCTCTGCCATGTGAACAACTTCAGGCTAGAGTGCTGTGGGAGGAATGGATAAGATGAGCAGAGTCCAGGTGTCCCCACCATGGCCACCCTAGACCAACCGACAGCCAGCAAGCCCCTGATATGAGAGAATCCAGCCAAGATTACCAGAGCACAGAGTACCTCCACCTGACTCACAGCTGAACACAGACTCAGAACAGACCAGAAGGGACCAGAAGATTTTCCCAACAGAATCTCATGAAGAAAAAAAAAAGTATTCTCTTGAGCCTTTGTAAATTTTGGGAGGGCATGTTACACAGCAATAGCTTACTGATACAATAACCAATGCAAACAGAACTGAGCACATTCAGAATTATCTGTAGCTGCTTCTATTTGATATTTGTTCTGATATTTGAAGACAGCATTCATCATTACCTGGATATGCAAGTTTATTTTGGAAAACTATATTAACAAGATACTACCACTGAGATTCCCTTCCAGGTAATCAGGAGAGATTGAAGGACATGTGCACTTTTTGAGGGAATAAAATGTGACTTTGAATCACAAATCTCCACTCCCAGACACATAATTGTGTGGGAATTCAAGGTCTTGTGTGAGTCATCCTTTGGACATGAGACTTTAAGGGAATTTAGAGCATAAAAGAGAAATTGATGATAGAATAATACCTATCTTATTTACTCACTTGCAATGTATTGTTTATGACAAAATTTTTGAAAGTTGCAGATATTTTGTTTAGGACAGTGGAAGGAGCCATATTTATCAGCAGCACTGAAAACTTTCAAACAGAAATAGAAAGACGATCCAATGATGTAACATAGAACAGGTCACCAAAACCCACATTCAAATGAATAAACCTGCACATGGATACCAAGCTCTACACTTCAGAACAGACCCAGTTGACCATGTGATAAAGTTCACAGAAAATGTCTGGGATTTCCAAGTCTGTACAGAATGACAGCTGCAACACCATTAAGCTTTGTAATAAAGAATTCAAGGCACTCAGGATCCAGGACACCAGAAGCAGCAACACACAGAGTGTGTTCATGATGACTGTATAGTGGAAGGGGTGACAGATGGTCACAAGACTGTCATAAGCCTTCACAGCCAGGAGAATGTTGTCCAAAATTATAAAGAATATCTGTGTAATGCAGCCTTTTTATGTTATGGCTTTGCTCTGTGTCTGTATAATCAGCAGCATCTTAGGGACAGTGGTGGAGACAACACAAATATCAGAAAAGGGCAGGTTGGAGAGGAAGAAGTACACNCTTTCAAACAGAAATAGAAAGACGATCCAATGATGTAACATAGAACAGGTCACCAAAACCCTCATTCAAATGAATAAACCTGCACATGGATACCAAGCTCTACACTTCAGAACAGACCCAGTTGACCATGTGATAAAGTTCATAGAAAATGTCTGGGATTTCCAAGTCTGTACAGAATGACAGCTGCAACACCATTAAGCTTTGTAATAAAGAATTTAAGGCACTCAGAATCCAGGACACCGGAACCAGCAACACACAGAGTGTGTTCATGCTGACTGTATAGTGGAAGGGGTGACAGATGGCCACAAGACTGTCATAAGCCTTCACAGCCAGGAGAATGTTGTCCAAAATTACAAAGAATATAACAAAGAATATCTGTGTGATCCAGCCTTTACAGGTTATGGCTTTGCTCTGTGTCTGTATAATCAGCAGCATCTTATGGACAGTGGTGGAGACAACACAAATATCAGAAAAGGGCAGGTTGGAGAGGAAGAAGTACACGGGAGTGTGGAAGTGGGAGTCTGAGATAATGGCCAGGATGATGGTCAGGTTCCCTAGCATGGTGACCAGGTACAGGAACAGGAACAGCCCAAAGAGGAAGGGCTGAAATCGGGGTTCCTCTGAAAATCTCATAAGAAGGTATGTTGAAATCTGTGTATCATTCTCCAATTCCATGTGATCCTTGTGGGTGATGCGATGACAGAGAGAGAGAGAACAAGATATGGGCATGCATTACTAATTTTTCAGAAATGTTATCATGAGTATTTTAGAGTCATACACTTATTTTTGTATTTTCTCTATGACTTCTGTCCTCTGCAGTTGATCATCCTGCAATCCCTAATGAGGAAATGCTTCCCACTCTCAGCCTTCCATGAAGATGTCAGGTATTTTACATTCATGATGACAAGTACTTTCATCCATTGGAGGAATATAAATCGAATGCTGACCATGTTCCAGGCACTGTGTAGACAGTGAGTGAACAGAACTAAACAAACAAATGGCCATGCAATCCACTGATGGAGGAATAAAACAGACAAATAAAAAAATCATAAATAATGCCAGGTGATGACAGGTTCTTGGAAGAAAAACAAAACAGGTAAAAAGGAGAGAGTGGGTCAGTGTACTATTATTATTATTTTCTTTTAAATGATGATCAGTGAAGACGTGCAAACAAGGTGACATTTGAACAAAGGTCTGAAGCCAGGACAGGAGCCACATGGTCATCTGTGGAGGAGGGTGATTGGCAGGAGACACAGACAGTGCAAAGACCCTGAGGAAGTTGTTGGTTTAGGGGCAAAAAGGAAGCAGGTGTGGCAGGAGAAGGAACAAGAGTTAAGTGATGAGAGAGGGTGTCAGAGAATGGTGAAGAACAAGGTGGCTTTTTTGCTATTGAAATTTTAAGACACAGGGAGTTCCTCTGTACAGATGTTGTTGCATCTGCAGTTTAGTAAGTTGACTGCAAAGGTGTCCTGTGAATTGCAATGCACCTCCCCTTTATTTCTATCTGTTGCCTTATGTTCTGGCCTCTGCATTACAAGTTATCTTTTGGAATATACAGAGCACAGTTCCCCTTTCTCTGAATGCTGCTCTCACCCCTAAACACACACACACACACACACAATAGCATGTATACACATGAAACACGCTGAGCCTCCAGGGACCTTGTTAATACCATGCTCTTCTCATCCACAGCCAACTATCAGAAAAAAATGATTATCAGGTGAGCTGTGAATATCAGATTGTCTTTCCCCTAAAGAATGCAGGATTGGTACCTAGAAATTCCTGATCAAACATCCCCAATACACATGTAAAGTTGGGCCTCCATTTCTGTATGGCCATTATCTGCCCCCTGTTTTTAAAAAAATAAACAGTCTGTTCAATAAACAGAGGGAAAGGAATTAGATGGACCTGAGAGAGAAAGGTTTTAATAAGCTCAGGTGGTCCCCAAGAGATTGCAAGAAAGAAAAAGCTTCCTTGGTTCTGATGATATTTCAACTCCCATTATATTAACTTGATGTCCAACAAAAATAATAAAAGATCAAAACTAAGGAATTTTTAAATTGTTCTGTAGTCCCTGTAAAGTTTTTAATTTAGGAAATGTGTTTAACTGTATTGGTTTTAATGATCACTAAAATTTTTGTTTAGTTTTTGAAACTAAAAAAAGAAGGAGTTATCCAAATGGTAATTTAATTTAGTTTAGTTTAGTTTTATTTTATTTTTGATTTTGGCACTTGGCTGGTATGCAAATTACAATTTTAATAATATCTTCCTGGTAACAAGACACATACACATTACACACCCAAGCCAACGACTTAGAAAAGAAAAATGCATGACAAGGTTTGTGCATTTTTATGTTAAACTGTAAAAGACTTGTTTCTCCTGTGCCTATTCCATGCTATTTTGACTAATTGTTTGTTAGAAGATCTGATAACAAATGAAGCAGGTATCCTTAGCACTCTCCTGTGTTTTCTGTGTGGCATTCATTGTTTGATACTTGTGGCCTTTAGATTTTGATGTCTTTCTTGACAAACCCACTGAGCACACTCTAGTCCTGGTTCTGTTTTTCATTCAACATGCAAAGGCCTCTCAGACCATATACAATTCCCTACACATCATAACGATTGGACTATTTTACAGTGAAAAACATTCTTCATATGATTTACCCCTGAGGACATTATGTCATACACACACTTATTTCAATTTACTTCATTATATTCTGTTTTCTCCATTATAATGCAAGTTCCAAGTCAGCAGGTACACTACTTTGTATATTCACTTTTGAGTTTTCGCAAAGGTGTGTGAATATGGATGCTTGAAGAAGAAACAAATTTGAAGAAACTGACAAGTTACAAAATAGAAGAAAAAGCAAGGGAACAAAACTAAGTTAAATATAGTGGTTTCAAAACAACCACAGTTATCAAAATTGATGGGCCATTGAATATTGATCAAAACAATATCTAAAATAACAATAATTTAATATCAACGTGGATTAATAGCTAAATTGGCAAAAACCTAGACACAAAAGAATATCATATAAGATGTTGAATGAATGTTCTAGCATGTAGCAGAAGCTCAGATATTATTTGATAAATGAATCAGGAATCAGGACCCATTATATATGGGCATTTTATATAAGGCTAGTTTGTATTTTAATGAAGATGAAAAAGGATAGATTTTAAAATAAAAGCTGGCATTAATGGTTATACATCTGGAATAAACAAAGTTGCTTCTCTACCTCACACATGTAACAAAAACACAAAAGGATAAAAGACCTCACTGAAAAACTAAACAATGCATTTTAGTTTAATGCATATTAGGGAAACAACATATAAAACCTGTTGGGGAAGGGGCAAATGATGTCAATTAAGGCAAAATATGCAAAAATAAGAATATAGACATGTATTTAACTAAATCATATTTAACATTTTATGGCCAAAAAGTTATCCCAAAAAGTCAATTTTAACAGAATAATTGGTTAAAATCATTTGAAATGCCGATAAGTACATAAATATGGGCATATGATAAGCACAGGTAAATCATAATGTTGATGTATGAGCTGATATATAAGCATTTGAATATTTGAGAAAACTCTGTAATTTTTTTAGAAAACAACAAGAAATCTCTTTCACACTCATCATCATGGGAAAAAACGTTAAGAGCTGTCACACTGATTTCTGTTGAAAATTTTAAACAAATAGCAAAGGTGCACTCTCTAATTTTCCTGACAGAATATAAAGTCTTTGGGAAATAATCTCAACACAGATAAAATTTTAATAATACAGATATTCTTTATCACAGGATTTCTCAATCTCAGGATTACTGACATTCTAGGACAGTTCACTATTCGTAGTGGAGTCTGTGCTGTGCATTGTAGAGTTTCAGCAGCATCACTGGTCTAACCAACGCAAATATATTCCACTGCATCAGTGAGGAAATTACTGCAAAGTAAATCTCATTAGTATACCCCTTTTTGCCTATAAAATGATAAATGTTAGCGAGGTTGTGGAGAAAAAGGAACTCCCATACATTGCTGCTGGGACTGCAAAATGGTGCAGCCTCTATGTAAAATGGTATGGATGTTCCTCAAACAATTGCAGGTAGATCTACCCTATGAACCAGCTATCCCACTGCTGGGAATATACCCAGAAGAATGGAAATAGTCAAGTCAAATATTTACCTGTTCCCCAATGTTCATAGCAGCACTCTTTACAATAGCTAAGAGTTGGAACCAGCCCAAAAGTCCATCAGCAGATGAGTGAATATGGAAAATGTGGTATATCTACACAATGGAATACTACTCTGCTATAAAAAAGAATGAAATACTGCCATTTGCAACAACATGGATGGACCTAGAGTAAATTATATATTAAGTGAAACAAGTCAGGCACAGAAAGAGAAATAACACATGTTCTCACTTATTTGTGGGAGCTAAAAATAAATAAATAAGTACACAAACAGGGGGGAGGGAAGAAGACACAACAATTACAATTCCTTGAAGTTGATACGACAAGCGAACAGAAAGGAGGTTGTTGGGA